ATTTATTGTAGAGATGAGGTCTCGCTGCCCAGGCGGGTCTCGAACCCGCGGGCTCAGGCAATCCACTCACCTCAGCCTCCCAAAGGCACGGGATTACTGGCTGAGCCACCGAGCCCGGCTGATTTTTAATATTTTTTAAATTTTGCAATATTTTCAGATATATAATGAGATCTTAGGGATGAGACCCCAGTCTAAATGTATTTATTTATATTTCACAAATACCTTATACACATAGCTTGAAGGTCATTTCATTTTTCTGTTGGGGATGCTGAATAAACTATGTCGCGCACCTGCATTTTGACTCCAACCTGTCACATGAAGTCATTTGTGGAATTTTTCACTTGTGGCATCATGTTGACTCCCAGAAAGTTTTGGATTTTTGGATTGGGGTGCTCACCCTGTACTATGATGTCCATAACAATACATTGCATTTGTTTTTTTGTACCAGTTGGAGCCAGAAAATCTTTTTTTTTTTTTTTTGTTGGAGTCTTACTCTGTCACGCAGACTGGAGTGCAGTGACCTCTCCTGGCCACCGCAGCCTCTACCTGCTGGGCTCCGGCGATCCTTCCGCCTCAGCCTTCTGAGTAGCTGGAACTACAGCCGTGTGCTACCACGCCCAGCTAATTTTTGATTTTAGTGTAGAGATGAGGTCTCACCAAGTTTCCCAGGCGGGTCACGAACCCGCGGGCTCAGTCAATCCACTCACCTTAGCCTCCTAAAGTGCTGGGATTACAGGCTGAGCCACCGAGCCCAGCTCAGAAAATTCTTAGTGTATGCAACTCTTGTTTTGGAACCCAACTTGTGTTAGCCTGAGGAAAACAAGAGTAATCACAGTATATTTTCCTTAAGTTGATATGCATGTGATATCATTTTGGACTGTTCACAATGGTAACTCTTGGTCTTTCATCTTTAAAATGTGGTGCTCACTGGTGCAGTGGCTCACACCTGTAATCCCATCAGCTGAAGCAGGAGGATTGCTTGAGCTCAGGAGTTTGAGACCAGCCTGGACAAAATAGTGAGACCTCATCTCAACAAAAAATCGAAAAATTAGCTGGGTGTGGTGGCACATTCTTTAGTCCCAGCTACTTGGGAGGCTGAGGTAGAAGATCACCTGAACCCAGGAGATTGAGGCTTCCGTGATTTGTGATTATGATCCTGCTACGGCACTCCAGCCTGTGCAACAGAGTGAAACTCTGACTCAAAAAAAAATGTGGTGCTCAAAATGGTTTGCTCTGATTGATGAAGCGTATCACAGTATTAGGACAGTTAGACTAACTTTTAGGGCAAACATATCCTAATTCTGGCTCACTAATGTTATTTATTTAATTCAGACTTGACACGGGTCACACCTGTAATCCCAGCATTTTCGGAGGCTGAGGTAGGAGTTCAAGACCAGCCTGGGAAGCATAGTGAGACCCTATCTTTACAAAAAATACAAAAATTAGTCAGATATGGTGGTATGTGCTTTTAGTCCCTGCTACTCAGGAGTAGCTGAAGTGGAAAGATCGCCTGAGCCCAGGAGGTTGAGGCTGCAGTGAGCCAGAATTGTGCCACTGCACTCTAGCCTGGGCAACATAGTGAGACCCTGTCTCACCACACCCACAAAAAACAAAAAACAAAAACTCCGGGTGTGGTGGCTCATGCCTATAATTCCAGCACTTTGTGAGGCCAGGGTGAGAGGATTGCTTGAGTTCAGTGGTTCGAGACCAACCTGAGCAACTTGGTAAGACCTTTTCTCTATAGCAAATAAAAAAAATTAGCCAAGCATCTTAGTGCATGTGCCTGTGATTCCAGCTACTTGGAAGGCTGAGGTGGAAGGATCGCCTGAGCCCAACAGGTTGAGGCTGTGGTAGCCGTGAGTGTGCCACTGCACTACAGCCTGGGTGACAGAGTGAAACTCCCACTCAAATAAATAAATTAATTAAATTAAATAAAGTATTTAATTCACACTCCAGTCTCTTTCACATGCCTTCCCTGATCCCATATCATTCCCATGACAAATGAACTCATCTGTTTGCCTATAAATTTCATTTATAACCAATAATGCTAATCACTTTGTATTATAGTGACTGATCTCTTCCTGTGATGTGGGTTGAGTGCTATATTTCAGGTATATTCATCTGCTTGGCTGCCATAACAAAATATCACAGACTTTACTGAAACAGCAGAAGTGTATTTTCTCACAATTCTGGAGGCTAAAAATCCAAGATCAAGTTGTTGGCAGGTTTGGTTTCTTCTGAGGCCTGTCTCCTTGGCTTGCAGATGGCTACCTTGTGTCTTCACATGATTGTCTCTGTTGTCTGTGTCCTAATCTCTTCTTTTTTTTTTTGAGTTGGAGTCTCACTCTGTCACCCAGATTGGAGTGCAGTGGCCGCTCCCGGCCACCGCAGCCTTGACCTGCTGGGCTCCGGCGATCCTTCCGCCTCAGCCTTCCGAGTAACTGGAACTACAGACGTGCACTACCACGCCCGGCTCATTTTGATTTATTGTAGAGATGAGGTCTCGCCAAGTTGCCCAGGCGGGTCTTGAACCCGCGGGCTCAGGCAATCCACTCCCGTGTTTGCTCCCAAAGGCGCAGGATTACAGGCTGAGCCACCGAGCCTGGCTGTAATCACTTCTTATAAGGGCATCAGTCATGTTGAATTAGGGCCCACCCTAATGACCCCGTTTAAACTTAATTATCTCTTTAAAGATCCTATCTCCAAATACAGTCACATTCTGTAGCACTGGGGATTAGGACTTCAACGTGTGAATTTCAAGGGGGACACACTTCAGCCCATACCATCAGTGATGCTTACCTTCCAAATTGGCGTTGTTCCTAGTTAACACTGATAATAGGTAAAGACAGTCACTCTATTTATTGGCTCATATTTCTTCATTTTGTCCTTTTGCATATGATGAGTCATTTGGTGTTATATTACCATGCCCAGTTATTAGCGATGGGATGGGAATTGATGATGTAATGAGGAAATGTGGGGTCCAACCACTACCCCTTGGCTTTTGTTCTTAACATGTATCCTAGTTACCTGTGTGGGGCCTCCCCTCCTTGGCATTGTACTAGTATGCAGAGATTTGGGGCTCTAAAGATATGTGGAGCCGTCTAAACAGTAATTGACTTGATATATTTTCCTAGGAAAATAATTTGCATACTAGTCGTAGTTGAGATCTTTGCCTCTGGTTTGTTTGCTCTAAGTGAAGTGCAAAAATTTTCTTTTTTTTTTTCCTTTTCTTTTTTCTTTAGACAAGCCTCCTAGGTGATTTTGGTGCTGGGATTCCTTTTACTACATATTGAAAATTTGTCCTAGAGAAATGAAGATATGTGGACATACAGCCTGAATCTTTGCTAATTGTACTATCTGATTGTAACCTTCTGAGGAGACATCTTTTCATTTTTGCTATTTCTCCTCCAGGTGGTCCTCCCTCAGAAGATTGGCAAGAAGGATACCACTGTTCCAGGAAAGAAAGTAGGGGGAAAAAAGTCTCTGGCTCCCGTGTTTGCTGATAAATTAATATCACCAAGCAGCAAGGGGTCCACGTGGGCCAAGCTGGCACAGGACAGGAGGAATGTCAAGCTTGAGGACCGTGAGAACCACGAGGAGAATGAATATAAGACCAGTGAGTTGGGTCAGGCTGAGAAAGGTAAACAATCCTCTTCCGGTGGTTCCTGGCTGGTGACTGTAAGGTAGCAAGAGCAAGGTGCCCTGCATGCCATTCTGCAGTGCTTGGAGAGGGGTTCTGTAAATACCATTCTTCTGAAAATTGCCTTGGTAGCCCCTGGTTGATTCTTGAGGATGGGGTTTCATTGAGGAGAGCCTCAATGGATATTTGATCTGTGCTATCTACCTAACACAAATCAGAATATTGTGTATTGATTATTTGTCTTTGTGTTTATGAGCCAGGCAGGTAGATTAGCCCACAAACTTAATTTTCAGTGACTTTTTTTTGTCTTGACAGAGTCGGTGTAACATTTTAAATGTTACCACCAAAGCGGTAATTCTTACCAGCGTTATTAAAATGCAATAGCAATACATTTAAAATATTTCATAATAAAGTTAAAAAAGCAGTAAATTTTTTTCTTAGATTTTTGTGTATAGCCAGATATACAAGAACATTTGTTTCTGAAAGAACAATTTCTCATTCTTTTTTTTTTTTTTTTGAGTTGGAGTCTCACTCTGTCACCCAGACTGGAGTGCAGTGGCACACTCCCGGCCACTGCAGCCTCGACCTGCTGGGCTCTGGCGATCCTTCCGCCTCAGCCTTCCAAGTACCTGGAACTACAGGCACACGCTACCACGCCCGGCTAATTTTTTGATTTATTGTAGAGATGAGGTCCCACCAAATTGCCCAGGCGGGTCTCGAACCCACAGGCTCAGGCAGTCCACTCACCTCAGCCTTCCAAAGTGCAGGATTACAGGCTGAGCCACCGAGCCTGGCCACAGTTTCTCATTCTTATTCTTAACAAGTCTGTATGGCAATAATTGTTTAGGTGAGTTCTCATGTAATTCTAGTAGGGAAAAAAAAAGCCCTGTATTCTATGGAAGTGAAAAGGAGAAAAACCCTCCCCATGGGGGATGAGAAAGATTAACAGGAAGGCCATGACAGTGATCACAAAGGCTGTGAAGAAGAGCATCGGGAAGAAGTCCAGATGACCTAGATCAGCTTTGTTATGCAGTGGTTGGCATCAGGGAACTCTAGTTGTAAGGGAAGTCCCTCAGCAGGAGCTGTTACGTTTCTCTTTTGAATTTAGAAAACCTAATTCATTTATACTTTAAAAGATACTCTGATCCAACCCAACTCATGAGTCTTCTGGTGAATAGCATAGCTTATGTATGGTGTTTGTGGACAGTATAAAAGTTTCCAGTTTATTTGTTAGTAGCACAGGCAGATTGTTAAACATACAATATTCTGGCTTTCATCCACAGAGTCTATCAAAAAAACACCTGGTAAGCGGAAGAAGGAAATGGCCAAACAGACGGCCTCCCCTGGAAACAAAAAACAGAAATTTGGAGGTAACATCTTTGCTGTTGTTTAAAGCACAGGAGACTATGGAGAAGGTCATGTTGGCAAAAGCTTAGTCTCTGTTAGCCTAAATTAGGAACAGTGGGATTTATTCCTGAAACCTGGTATTACAATTAGCCGGTCTTCAATGGGTTTTATTTTAGCATCACTTTCTCTGAACTGTTTGAGTTTTTGTTTTTTTAAATCTTTTTGTATGGCAGTTGAACCATCTGTAATTTTCACACTATTTGTTGGAAACTATTTGTTGAATTTCAGCAAACTACTGCTGAACTAAAAACTAGTCTGAGTGAATTTTTTGCTAAAAATGATCTTGTAGTTGTGGGGTCAGAGTTGGATGGTCTAGGTAAATACAGTATATTAAGAATGTTTTAGCTGGGCTCGGTGGCTCAACCTGTATTCCTGTGCCTTTGAGAGGCTGAGGTGTGTGGATTGCCTGAGTTTGCGGGTTCGAGACCCACCCGGGCAACTTGGCGAGACCTCATCTCTACAATAAATCAAAAAAAATGAGCCGGGCGTGGTAGCGCATGCCTATAATTCTGGCTACTCGGAAGGCTGAGGTGGAAGGATCGCCGGAGCCCAGCAGGTCAAGGCTGCGGTAGCCAGGAGTGGCTATTGCACTCCAGTCTGGGCAACAGAGTGAGACTCCAACTCAAAAAAAAAAAAAAAAGAAAGAAAGAAAAAAAGAATGTTTTTAAGAGTTTATCAGTCCTGCACTAATTATTCCCGGAGAATTTGGTTCCGTGACTTTATGATATTTCATCATGGATTAATAGGACACTGTCTTTTCAGATCCTTTGTTACCTACTCTTTGCCTTTTGCTGAGACTTTACCTCAGTCTCTTGCAGTTCAAAATGAGTATCTAAAATCCTTCAGTGGCTCATGTTTGGTAAATCCATTATATTAAACTTTGCTCTCCTGTTTTCCCAAGCAAAATATTAAAATAATCCCAAGATCTTCCAAGTATTTGCAGACATTTTTTATAATTTTCTAATTGAACAACACTATTTGCCGAGAAGTTAGACTGAGTCACAAGTTTAATCAAAAAACCTATTCATAGCTTTGGTGGCAAATACAAGTTCTGTATCAGTTCTGCTTTTTGCTGAGTTGAATTTCATCCTTTCTTACTTCTTCCTCAACCGAAACATAGGTATTGGGTGTGAACATATCTCTTTTGTTATACTCAGAAAAGATAATAATAGCAAGCATTTATTGAATACTCAGTGTTCCAGGCATTGTTCTTATAGTCTTAGGTTGATGCATAAGTTCGTAATGTGTGTTTTTGGCATGGCAACACTGTAGTGCTGGGAGTTTGTTTATCATTTGTCATTTGGAGTGACAGTGTTGTGCTTGTGAATATGCCTTGCATTTTGCAGATTTGAAGAAAGTTGGTGCTATTAGTGGGCTAAAGAAGAAGGAGTGTCAAGTGGAGAAAAACGAACACTTCCGACATATTCTTCTGTTTGAGTTTAATAGAGGAGTCAAGGCAGCGGAGGCGGCTCGAAACATTTGTGCCGTGTACGGGGAGAATGCCATCGGGGAAAGCACGGCAAGAAAATGGTTTTGCCGTTTCAAAGAGGGCCACTTTGACCTGAGCGACTCTCCGCGTTCAGGAAGACCCTCGGGCTTTGATGAAGACCGTCTAAACGCTGTACTCCGTGAGGACCCATGCCAGTCAACCCGAGAATTAGCAAACGTGATGAACTGTGATCAGTCAACCATCGTGCGACATTTACATTCCCTGGGCAAGCGGAAGAGTGCTGCGAACTTATGCATCCCCCCAGTAACTTGTTTAATCTGTAAGACAGTCCTCAGTAGCAATTATCATCGTTATCCCCGTCTTACAAAGGAGGCAGTTGAGGAACAGAGAAGTGAAGTGACATCTCAGTCTCACACAGCTAGAGAGTGGCAGAGCGAAGATTTGAGCCCCAGACTTGGGTTTCAGAACCTGTGCTTTAATCGCGAATTGCGCCACCTGCCATGAGTTTTGTCACATTGATCTTTTTTACAGTTTTTGATGACTGTATTTGAGATATTTGCAGTAAATAAGGACTCCTTTTGCATGGAAAGGAAGTCTTATTGTAATAGCCGTTGGGTCTGCTAACACATTCCACGTTAGGAATGATGTTTTCCAATTCACAAATGCAGATAACTATTTCTTAAAACAAAAACTAAAAATTTTGTAATTTTAAACTATAATTTCTGTGACTTTTGTTTGAATTTTGTTAGTTGTTCAGTAGAAGACTAATAAAGATGTCAGCAGGAAAACTTTGCATTGATTCTCAGTCCTTGCCCTAGAGAAAGGTTTCTTAACTTCATTACTATTGCCATTTAAGACTGGATAATTCTTTGTTGTGGGGAGGCTGTCTAGTTCACTATGAAATGCTTAGCAGTCCTCTTGGATTCTACCCACTAGATAGTATATACTTCCCCAATTGTCTCCAGACAGTGTCAAACTGACCCCCAGGTGAGAACTATTGCTTTCTAGTTATTTCAGGTACTGACTGCCAATTTTTGGAGCCTTGGTTTCAGATTGTAAATTAGGCAGCTGCTTGTGACTTAGGCTAATTTCTGTTCTCACAGCCAGTGTGATTAGCCACCCAGAAGACATATGCTCTTGATCTTTCTTATGTGTGCTCTTTTCTTTTTCTTCTACATCTCTATGAGATTTGGTTACGTGAATTTTAAATCTGCTGATGACCAGGAAAAAACCCTGGAACTTAGTGATACAAAGGTCCTGGATATGAAGTTGAAGAAAACAAGGGGAAAGGAAACAAAGATATGCAAACAAGGTAATTTGTTTATAGGTATCAGTGTAGCTAGAAGATTCTAGGTCAGGCAGGAATATCACATTCTTTCTACTTCAGATAGTCCTTGGTTTGTGACAGGCCACTTGCTTCCACAGCACCTTTCTGTCATCCCTGGGCTTGAAGCTGCGTATAGCTCACCCTTCTCTGTTATAATGTTCTTTCCTTCATCTGGGCATGGTGGGCTCATGCCTGTAATCTCAGCACTTTGGAAGGCCAAGGTGAAAGGATTGCCTGAGCCCAGGAGTTTGAGACCAGCCTCTGGGTACATGGGCTTAGTCTCTGGGTACGTGAAACCCATCCATCAGGTCACTTCTCAGATCATAAAAATCTTCCCTACCCTGACACTAATTTAAGTGTTTTGTATAGACTTTCTCATTAACCCCTTCTTCTTGTCCATCCTGGCACTTATCACAGTTTATAATTACATGATTACTTGTTGACCAGCCTTTTCCTCAATAAGACCACATTCCTGAGAACAGAGGCCGAGTCTATATTTTCACAGCTAGCACATAGCACAGGCCCTAGCCCAGAGCACGTATTCAAATGTTTGTTATATGAATGAAGATGTATTGTTTCCACTCTTTGAGGAGTATTCTTTCTATCTTAGAGGACTTTGGCGCTTATTAAATCTAAACTCAGACCAAAATATTCTTTCATGTTTATCTAGATCAAAATGTCAAAACATTTTTGATCAAGAACCTGGCTGACAAAGTCACTCAAGAATTAAAAGAAGTTTTTGAGGATGCAATTCAAATTAGATTAATAAGCAAGGATGGGATGATAAAAGGTATGTTTTATTTATTTTTATTTTTTATTTTTTTTGAGTTGGAGTCTCACTCTGTCACCCAGACTGGAGTGCAGTGGCCGATCCCGGCCACCGCAGCCTTGACTTGCTGGGCTCTGGCGATCCTTCTGCCTCAGCCTTCCAAGTAGCCAGAATTATAGGCATGCGCTACCACACCCGGCTGATTTTTTGTAGAGATGAGGTCTCACTAAGTTGCCCAGGCGGGTCTTGAACCCGCGGGCTCAGGCAATCTACTCACCTCAGCCTCCCAAAGGCGCGGGATTACAGGCTGAGCCCGACAAAACGTATGTTTTATACCTTGTACTGAATAAGAAAGTATGTCTGCTGGATTTAAACATAATGGAATTTCATTACATTCTCACAAATCTCTTATGCCTGATTTTAGAGAAGGAAAGAGTAATTATGAAGCATTTCTACAGCAGGCATAAAAAACTAAAGGAAGCATCTTAAAGGGACGGCCAAAAGCGTCTAGAAAACTCTGGTGACAGCCGGGCTCGGTGGCTCAGCCTGTAATCCCACGCCTTTCGGAGGCTGAGGTGAGTGGATTGCCTGAGCCTGCGGGTTCGAGACCCGCCTGGGCAGGCAAGACCTCATCTCTACAATAAACCAAAAAATCAGCCGGGTGTGGTAGCGCGCGCCTGTAATTCTGGCTACTTGGCAGGCTTAGGCAGAAGGATCGCAGGAGCTCAGCAGGTCGAGGCTGCGGTGGCCGGGAGCGGCCACTGCACTCCAGTCTGGGCGACAGAGTGAGACTCCAACTCAAAAAAAAAAAAAAAGTAAACTCTGGTGAGGTCAAAGAGAAATATAGTCTTATTCTGCTACCAAGTATAAGATTGAAGATTAGAAAAATTTATTCGTACATTATCTTCATTTCACTCTCTTTCCAGGGCTGACTCCAGTAGAATAACACTTGGTGACTTGCTTCGTTAGATACCTAAGTAGACACAGAATTGAGTAGTTAGGTTTATGTTATAGCCGGTTAATGAGACATTGTCATTAGATGTCTAGGCTTTGGTAGAGTAAGAGATGAATACGGTGAAATTACAGATAATGGAGTAGAATGCATTTGAAAGCTTGTTTGGAGGTTCTAGCAGGGGAGCGCAGCTACTCGTATACCCCTGACTGAAGAGTAGTCCTCCTCTAGTTGATATGGTCGTCCTCTTTGATGAGCACACAGCTTCTGGAGGGACACACGTGGAGTGGTGAGGGATGAAGGGGACACCCGCCTAGCCAGTCAGCTCAGCCAAATCAACCCTGGCTATCAGTGGGGTGGCATGTCACAGCCAGCTTTCCCTCACATCCTAGAATATATTTTGAAGAGATTCTTTTTACATCCTAGAATATATTTTGAAGAGATTCTTTTTACATCCTAGAATATATTTTGAAGAGATTCTTTTTACATCCTAGAATATATTTTGAAGAGATTCTTTTTTTTTTTTTTTTTTTTTTTGAGTTGAGATCTCACTCTGTTACCTAGGCTGGAGTGTAGAAGCATGCTCACAGCTACCTGCTGGGTTCAGGCAGTCCTTCTGCCTCAGCCTTCCAAGTAGCTGAACTATAAGCACATGCCACCATACCTGGCTAACTTTTTTATTTTATTGTAGAGACAATGTCTCACCAAGTTGCCCAGGCTGGTCTCAAACTCCTGGGCTCAGGCAGTCCTTTCACCTTGGCCTCCCAAAGTGCTGGGATTGCAGGCATGAGCCCATCATGTCCAGGTGAAGTAATTCTTATTCAGTGAAAATTGAATCAGGATTATAGATATATTTGAGCTAAATTTGTTGGTGTAAGTAAACTCTCTAAAATAATGTATAGTGGTATGCTCTGATGAACATAATCTCTAGAAATAATCCTGCAGATTTAAAAAGCATAAGGTAGAACTATGTATATTAACTTGGGAAGCCATGATAAATATAAGAAATCAAGATCTGAAAGAATATATTCCAAATCGTAAGCAATATTTACCTGGAGAAGATGGGGGGGGCACTGTGCTTGTAGTCTCTGGAAAACAACTAAATAGAAATTCCCACCAAAAGCAATATAATTTCTCTAACTTTGTTTAACTAGGTTTTAGTTAAATATACTTAAGTCTTTCACATCATTCCTTTGAATGAAGAATTATTATATTGCTTTTCAGCCTCTGGCTAATATCAAGCATAATATCTGCTCTTGTTTAATATCTGATATGTCCTAATTTTTTTTTTTTTTTTCGAGTTGGAGTCTCACTCTGTTGCCCAGACCGGGGTGCAATGGCATACTCCCAGCCACCGCAGAGTCGACTTGCTGGGCTCAGGTGATCCTCCCACCTCAGCCTTCCAAGTAGCCGGAACTACAGGCGCATGCTATCACGCCTGGCTAATTTTTTTGTTTATTGTAGAGATGAGTTCTCACCAAGTTGCCTGGGCGGGTCTCGAACCCGCAGGCTCAGACAATCCACTAGCCTTGGCCTCCCAAAATGCTGGGATTATAGACAGAGCCACCGAGCCTGGCCATCCTAAATTCTTTTGTGTCCTAAATTAATAATAAAAAAAGAATTATTGCAAAAGGGAGGAGATAAGAGGAAAAAAGAATTATTGCAGAAGGGAATCTGTGGTCATGTGAAATAAAGCATAATCCCTATGTCAGACAGAAGTGTGATGTAGTTACTTCAAGGTTCTTGACATGTCTTTATTCATACCTTTCACCAGTACAATTGGCAGGTTCATGAGAGATTTCATGTAAAATATGAAACCATATGGTATTAGAGGAATACATGGAGACTAAATATTTTTGTTTGTCTTTAGTAATCTGCAAGAGGGGGAGGCCTTTCTAAGTATGACACAAATCCTGGAAGGCCTAAAAGAAAAGATAAATAGGCTGGGCTCGGTGGCTCAGCCTGTAATCTCAGCACTTTGGGAGGCCGAGGTAAGTGAATTGCCTGAGCCCGCGGGTTCGAGACCCGCCTGGGCAACTTAACGAGACCTCATCTCTACAATAAATCAAAAAATTAGCTGGGTGTGGTAGTGCGCACCTGTAGTTCCAGCTACTTGGAAGGCTGAGGCGGAAGGATCGCCGGAGCCCAGCAGGTCGAGGCTGCGGTGGATGGGAGCGGCCACTGCACTCCAGTCTGGGCGACAGAGTAAGACTCCAACTCAAAAAAAAAAAGAAAAGGAAAATAAATTTGACTGTATAAATATATTTTTACATGGGAGGGGAAAATCCTCATAAGTAAAATCAAAAGACAAATGGCAAACAGGAAGCAATATTTGTTGCTGGTTTTTTTTGAGTTGGAGTCTCACTCTGTAACCCAGGTAGGTGTGCAGTGGCATGCTCACAGCCACCACAGCCTCAACCTGCTGGGCTCAGGCAATCTTTCCACCTCAGCCTTCCAAGTAGCTGGACCTACAGGTATGTCACCATGCCAGCTAATTTTTTAATTTATCGTAGAGACAAGGTCTGGCCAAGTTGCCCAGTCTGGTCTTGAACCTGTGGGCTCAGGCAGTCCTCTTGCCTCAGCCTCCCAAAGTACTGGGATTACAGGCGTGAGCCACTGTGCTTGGCTAGGAAACAATATTTGTAACTCATCATGACTGAGGACTAATTTCACTGATATATAAAGTACACCTCTCAAATCCATTTTAAAAAGACCAGTAGTCAGTAGAAATATAGACAAG